ATCACATATAGAGGGGGTAAGGAGAGACCAATTGCATTCGCCTCAAGAACACTAAATGTAGCTGAGAAAAATTATAGCCAAATAGAAAGAGAAGCTTTGGCCATTATATTTGGGCTTACAAAATTCAAAGAATTTATACATGGAAAAAAGTTCACATTACAAACACACAAGCCATTAATGAGTTTATTTCACCCAAGAAAAGATATATAAACAACATCTACTGCCAGAATACAAAGGTGGGCTTTATTATTAGCAGGTTACCAATATGAAATAGATTTCAAAAGTAGTCGACAACTAGAAAATGCTGACATGCTATCTAGATTACCTATAAAGGGAACCCCAATATCAAAAGAAGAAACGCTAGATCAAATACAGGTGCGAGAAACACCTTTAAATGCAAGCGAAATTGAAAGAGAAACAATGCGAGATGATATACTCTCTAAAGTATATAGATATACTATAGAAGGATGGCCAATAAACTAAGATGAGTGTTTAAAGGAGTATAGCCAAATGAGAGAGGAAATTACAACAGAGAGAGGTTGTTTATTGTGGAAAAATGATAATACCACAACAATACCGCAACGTTTTAGACATGATACATCAAGGACATATTGGAATGGTAATGAAGATGAGAGCAAGACAATACGCGTGGTGGCCTAATATAAACCAAGATATTGAAACATGGGTCGAAAAATGTAGAGAATGCCAGGAACAACACGATATGCCTCAAAAGACATTTCAAAATTGACCAAAACCACCAAAAGCATGGCACCGAGTACATATTGATTATGCTGGACCATTTCAAAATCATTATTGGTTGGTAGTGATAGATGCTAGCAGTCGCTGGCCAGAAATAGTTCCCATGACTAGTACTACAACCGAAAGCACGATCAATAAGAAATATTTTTGCCAGTTCAGATTTCCTAAGATAATTGTTTCTGATAACGGACCACAATTCAGCAGCAAAGAATTCCATGATTTCTGCGAAAAAAACGGAATACAATTAATGCACGAAGTCCTTACAATCCTCAGACAAATAGCATGACCGAACGATTAGTTCGAACTTTTAAACAGGCATGAATAAAAGAAACTAGGGGATTTCGAAACCAGTCTAGCTATTTTTCTCTACTATTACAAAAATACACCAGAAAAGTTCCGCTGAAATACTACTAAAAATTAAACCTAAAGGATTGTTAGACCAAAAACGGGGGAACAAAAAGGAGAAGTTAGAACACTACACTCAAAAATTCGAGATAAATGAAAATCGCGCATATCAATAATAAAGAAAAAAAAATGGGAAAAAGCCATTATTAAAAGCATACTCAGATCATTACGATATGAAGTAAGTATAGAGGGTAAAACTATTAATTAAAGAAAAGAACCGAAAATATATTAACTGGTGAATACGAATTAGAAGAGAGACCCGAAATGGAAGATAGAGTTAACAAATAGGATATAATAAGCAATAACTGTGAATTGAATCTAAAGGAGAGGGAGGAAGAAATTACAAGTCAAGATCTTTATCCGAAAAGAATACGAACGAAACCCAATAGATTGGTGATAATTGATAAGTATTGAATTGTTGTTTTTATTTTTTACAAAATGTTTATTTTCATTATTATAGATTATCATATGAATTTGAATAACAAAAAATTATATTATTATTTTGAGATAAAATAAAATGGCGAAAATTCTATAACTAAAAAAAATACAATATAAAAAGTTTTCTATATTTCCATAATTATTGAAGAAAGACACTACAGTTATTATATTTAAATATTTTCTAAGAATAAATATATTAGCTTAAATAACTCTTTTATTAATGAGGTATTTGGAAAACTTTATTTTTAGTTGTTAATTTGTTAATCGTTTTAACGGAGCGCATGATGTTTAAAATATATATCAGAGACCTGCAGAGGTACCATTTACACGGCCCGGCTTTAAATTTTTTAGGCCCGGCCCGGATATTTTTTTAAAAAATTTTTTACGGCCCGGCTCGGTCCGGATTTAAAAATTTAAGGCCCGGCCCGGATATTTTTAAAAAAATTTTTTACGGCCCGGCCCGGATTTAAAAATTTCAGGCCCGGCTCGGAATTTTTTTAAATTATATTCGACCTTGTATATACAAAAATTCACCTATGAGGTATTTTACCATATTTTTCAGCGAGTATTATCGCTTATTATTTAAAAAATACATGTAAAAAGCTAATATTTTGAGAATATTATATTGAATTTATAAAAATTATAAAACTGTTATTTATAAAAATGGATATTTTGAGCATATACTATATTTTATATTGCATTTATAAAAATAAAACTAATATTCATAAAAATGGTAATAATATTTTGAGCATATACTATATTTTATATTGCATTTAAAAAAAATAAAACTAATATTTAATTTATAAAAATGGAAAATATTTTAAAAATATAATATATTGTATTTAATTTACTATTTAATTTATAAAATAAAAATAAATCGCTATTTAAAAAAATGCATGTATAATAAATAGTATTTTGAAAATATAATCTAATTGCACAATATTAATATAATTTATTTTATAATATAAATTTTTAACAAAAGAAGATAATTGTATTATATAATATTGTAAAAAAGAATAATGAAAAATGTTGGATTAAAAACTTTCATGACTCAAGGTAAATTTAATAAATGCAATAAATATTTGACAGTTTGCAAAGTAAAAAACCAGCATGATCGACGAAACCCTATACTCAAGAAAGATTTTAAAAATTCACAAATTATCATGAAGAAAGAGAAGCATATCTACCTTTTCAGTTTGAAGATTACTTCTTCTTTCTTCAAGAATTCTTTCAGTAGTGGAAAAATTCCGCTCACAGCTTGCACTTGAAGCAGGAATTGCCAATTTTTCTAAAATTGGAAATTCGCTTTGATGAGCCGCCCACCACTCTAACAAATTATCCACCTTAAATGTTTCATCTATTTTTTTATTTATGTAATTATAATATTCATCATCGGGTATTGACATATTACCAGAATTACCATCGCCCCATTTGTCATAAAACGATTCAGTTTGTTTAACAACAGTCGTAATTTGACTGGTCGATAGTATTTCATTTACTTCCTGAGCCTCTTGTAATTTAATATAATCCTTTATATAGTTTTCCGTCATATTGCGATCTGTCTCTGACTACATACGTAATTGCTTGAATTTGGGACAGAGAAAAGGAGAAATAAAATGATACTTGTGTAAAACAAATTTTTCAATTAAAAAATGCTTTATATTAAGTAAAATCAATTTTATTTCTCCTTTTTCGCTTTGAAAGGTATTACAAACTTCAAGAAGTGATATTCCTTTATTTGATTGTTTTGGTAAAATATATTCTAAAAATTTAGATATGAATTATAAAAAAATATATTAATAATACTTGAATATTGGGGCTTATTTGAGATATTCCTTTATTTGATTGTTTTGGTAAAATATGTTGTAAAAATTTAGATATGAATTATAAAAAAATATATTAATACTTTGAATAAATTTGCAGGAAATTAATAATTAGATCGATCTGTGGGTGTTAGGTAGTGTTAACCATCACCCAATATATTATTTTAATCATAACTGTAATATAATATAATCTTATAACCATTAACTCATAATGTAAAAATTTTTATAAAAAATATTAAGGCCCGGTCCGGCCCGGGTTTAACAATCTTAGGCCCGGCCCGGCCCGGATATATTTAAAAAAAAATTTTTTAGGCCCGGCCCGGATATGTTTAAAAAATTTTTTTTTAGGCTCGGCCCGGGTATATTTAAAAAATTTAAAATACGGCCCGGGCCGGGTTTAGGGCCGGGCTTGCAGGTCTCTGATATATATCTTATGTTTATAAACTCGTTAATTGATACAATTTAAATTTATTTTTTATTAAACCCTAATCGGGAAAAAATTAAATTACGTGACTGGATTAAACAATTTTATAGGAAGATTTTATTATAAATATCCGTATTCTGAATATCAGCTGAATAAAAAAATGCCAGCTTATATAGAAGATTGTTTTCTTTTACGATTAGTTATTCAAATTGGTATATTATGTATAGACTAAAAGATAAACAGCTTGGCCATTCATATAATTTGGAAAAAGCTATGTCGCCTTTCGATTTGATGTAGATTCTAGGTTTTTGTAATTCAAAACTCAAATCCGACGTAGAGTAATTTGCACTCCATTTTAATCCAATAAATATTTGAAAATAAAAAGGCCGATAATTATTTCCAAAGATGATAAGATTTTTCCTATTTTTTAAAAATTTTAACATTTATATTTTTTAGTCTAAGAATGCCACCAAACACTTAGGGGTGTCTAAATAAAAAAAAATTATTTTCGGAGATGCCCTGGCATTCGCAGCAGTTTGCATACTAATGCCAATGTTTATTCAAGTAGAATTATTTAAATATATTTCTGGTTGCTTTCATCTAAATATTTTCACGGACAGAAATTCTCTCCGACTCGGTCGAATCAGTCCTTGATTTTAAAATTTTAAGAACTAGGACCTCGGCAAAATATTGATTGATTGAAATAATAATTTTAATAATAAATTAAAGACCAGCTCGAAAACCCTGTCCGGAACGAGTCAAGAAATGGTATCATTTTAAAAATTTTGGATAGGCCATTTTTTAATACTGGCCGGTCCTAAAGTAATTTTTTTTTAAATTCAGGTCGGACCTATAATTTGACCTCTAGTTTCTGAAATATTTCAAGGATAACACGAAAAATTTTTATTTTCCTTTGGCACTTATAATTATTCCGGTTTCGTGAAATATTGGGTAGGACCTATTCTAAAATAAAATTTTTGGAGAAAAATACTCTGATTAGATCGTTCGAACAAAAAAAATGTTCTGTGATCTAGCCGGATGCGAAATAATGGGTCCAATGCAGGGCTCTACTTTCACTTAAATGTTATTTTCCTATTGTAATTTCTTTTATTTCTCAAAGATTTTAAAATGATATTTTACCAAATACAAAGAACAAGAGAACAATCTGGAAATCTTAGCCAATCAAGTCTCTAAACAAAAACAAACTGCCACTCAAATAAATCGTGAAGTTCAAGTCCACGTCGGTTTTTTTCTCCAATATTTTTTTTTTTGATAGAAATTGAAAAATTGGAGGTTGACAATTTTGATTTGAATTTCCTTTTTTTGCTAATTGAATTTCTTATATTCCTGCTAATTTTAATTTGTTAGGGGGTATAGGGTGGGAGCCGAGGTGAAACCGGACCGTCCATGAAATTTTTTGAATAGGGTCGGCCCAGCCAGTAATCTAATATATAAATCAAGAAATAAACGTTTTCGTATAATCTTAATTTTTTCTATCAACTTTCCATGTTAGACTATATACCATTATTTTTAAAAAAATTTTTTTTTTATACATCAATGAGATTCGAATCACTTACTTAACGTTCGATAGGCAATCGTTCCTTCCAGTTAGCCCCCTCTATATTAAATTTTGTAATACAATTCTTCTTATTAGTGAAACTATATTAAATATATCAATATTTATTTTTTTTATTGGAAGTTCCAGGCTTGGGAAAATTTTTTTAAAATTATCATCGGTTGGCCAGGTTTGAGAAAAATTTTTTAAAATTATAATGGGTCGGACTGGGCTTGGAAAATATTTTTATAATATTTTTTTTATTGGACGCTGAAAAAAATTTCAAAATTATTATCGGTTGGCCAGGTTTGATAAAAAATTTTTAAAATTGTAATGGGTTCGGGTAGGGCTTGGAAAATATTTTATAAATTATATTGGGCTGCGCTTGGGGAAAATTTTTCAAATTATTATCAGCTTGAACGCTTGGGAATTTTTTTATTATTAACAATGGATCAAACATTGACCTAAACAAATAAACCAAGGCCCATAAAATCTGATTTAGATTGTAATTTTAAATTCACTATGATTTTTAAAAATATTATTTCAAAATTATTATGACCTTGAACCTTATTTGGGAATTTTCAATATCAAACATTAGTCATAGATAGACATGTGTGCCGACAGCATTTTCGGCGGCGGCGGCGTTTCTTTTTTTTAAATGATCGGCTGGCGGCGGCCAATCGATTTAGACGCCGCCACAAAAATTGGCGGCTGCGCGGCGGCGTCAAATATTTTTCTAACTTAAATTTTTTTAAATAAATTTATTAATTCATTGGAAACACTTTTAAAATAAAATTTATACTTTATTATGTTTAAAACTATAATTTAATGATTTTATTAAGTTATAATTATCATGAATAAATATTGTTTTATTAAGATTTATAATAATGATCTTTTAGAGTTCAGAGTGAGCCCAGCTATAGAAAATACACGCTCGTTGGGTGTGCTCCTAGTTGGAAAGCACAGGACCTTTCTAGCTAATATTGAAAGTTTAGGAAGATCCAATGCTCTTATCTTCCAAAAATCTAAGACATCTTTTATCTCCAAATTATAAGGCGAAAATAATGAATAACACTCTTTTTCTAAACTAGTTAAATAGTGTTATTGTTCCAGGCTATTGTTTTGAATAGATGAATTCGTAGCCAACGACTTAAGATAATCGAGTTTTGAAGCAACTTCTGTCGTTTCACATTCGTTTAAATCGTCCGTGTAAGGCCGTAGAGAGGTAGCGTGTTGACATAAAAATTCAACCGGAGTAATATTTTTTTCTTTTAAATATTCATTTACTATGTTTATTGATTGAAAACGAGGATCCAAAAGTGCTCCTAACACCTAAGTAAAAAAATAAAAGAAAGAGAAATAATATATAAAAAATAATTTATGTATTTTAAAATACTGCCTGAAGATCGGTTATTGGAAATCTATGATCAAATTTAGTAAGCATATTTTGTTTAAGGGATGCTATGGGAGGACTATCATATTCTTTTACAATTAAATGATTTTTAATTTCACTACGAAATAATAAGGTCAATTTATAGTAACTCCTTTTTGGACAGATAAAAATTCAACAGTTTTTTTGATAGTTTTAAGAAAATTTAAAAGTTCATGCACCAAGTCCCAATCGGAGTTAAATAATTTGAGATCCGGTTTCTCCATTCTATTGAATAGAATATTTATAGGATTTTTGTTATTGCCAGTCACACTTTCCAGCATTATTAAAATATTATCCCAACGTGTAGGCACATTTAATTTTAAGGTTTTATGTTTTTTCTCATATGATTTTCACTATCATCATCAAACCCCAAACGATCTTCATAAAAAGTATCATTATCAATAAAATCTAAAATATCCGATGGATATCGATTCAAAACATTTTCTATTTTCGATATCGTTTATATTTTCAAAATCCGTTGTGTTGAATCTTAAGGCAAATATAATTTCTCCCACTTTTTTAATGAGATTTTCTATTTTATTAACTTTTTTTATTCCATCGACTGTCACTAGATTATGTAATCCATGCCCCAAACATAAATGATGGTCATATTCTCTTAGACGAACACTTTTCTTTACATTGGGTCCTGTATCTGTAACCATTTGAATTTTCTTGGACCCTAAATCATTCAACCTTTTCTATTTCGGAAAGAATAGTTTTAGCGGTATGTTTTTGAGTGACATGATGTGTCGCCAATGTATAAAATACAATATTAAAATTATTATCTATTTTGTGAAATGTAAAGGTGATATAATTTCACCGTCTATATTTATCGGTCCACATATCAAAAGTTATAACACAAAATTTAGGACCTATATTAATTTGTTGCCATATGTATGCTTTCATTGATAAATACACATCATCTAATCCACTCCAGCTAATTGTAGTTCTATCTGGTAATTCTTTGGTATCTGAAATAATGCCATATTTCTACATAATAAAAAGTTAATAATAAAAATATTATGCCATGAAAAATTCTAAATGTGGGATGCTATAAAATAATTAAATATCTTAACAGTTAAAATTTCCCTATAAAAAATTATAATGATTTTACAAATAACCTTTAGAAAATCTTGCACAGTATTATTTATAGAAGAAAATGGCATTAAATCCTTGCAACACATAAGAACATAATTCCTTACCAGAATCCATTTTTTATCTTTTATAGGGTCAGTTGTATCTTTTACAATGGGTTTGAAAAATAACTTTAAATTTTGTTTAGATATTTCTTCTTTACATGATAAATCATGTTTGTCAAGTAAATGTTTTATTATATTTGATGTGCTGATATTTTTTGAAAAAGATTTGATTAAATAACTAATTAAAAAATTTATAAATATTTTTAAAATAAATCAAAAAATTTACTCTGAAAATGAATAATTATTTTCATCCTCACCATCTTTATCAAGTGCTATTTGCAACCATATATTACAAAAAACTTTATCTGTAGCAACACTGGTTCTCTTATTATTTGTGTCAGTTTTTAATAAAGGATCCAAAATGTTTCCATGCAAAAGAAGGCTTTGCTTGCAAGGATATACTATATTTTGTTACAGGGTATTGCAATGCTGCATCCATCATAATTGTTTTAGTCCTGGTATTTTTTTATATGTTATAATGGCAACAAAATAAAAATCATTAATTAAAATTTCCTATTATGATACAAAATAAACTTTATATAACGAGTTTTAGATTTTATGAAGCATAAAAATAAAAGAATAAAATATAGAATTACCTTTTCAAATTTAATGTCCTAATCTTATTTTATCTATCATGTTGGTCACAAACCTGCCCAAAGTGTGCGAATATGGATTATTACAAATCAAATTTATAGCAAATAATATTTATTAATTTTAAAAAATGAAATCGCATTTTTTAATAATTCAAAAAATATTTAATATTTTTCTTCTAATTACAATTCATAAATAATATATAAAATAAATTAATAATAAAAAATGTATCACGCCGCCGAATTTTTACATCTGTGGCGGCGTGTTGGGCGCCGTAAATTTTTAGGCGCCCAGCGTCGGCGTGGTCAAAATCACCGGCGGCGGCGCATTTGACCGGCGGCGCACATGTCTAGGCATAGATGATCAGTAATATTTTAACAAATAATATTGATTTTGATATGGGTATCAACTAAAAGTTTTAAACTCAAAACATAACATTTAAACTTAGTTTTAATGGATTGGGCCTTGCCTGAAGGTGGGAGGGGGTTATAAAGAATAAAAATTGGTAAAATACCATGTAACAACTATCATTAGAGTAAGGAGAAAATTCTCATTCCCCATCATTTTTGACGAGCTCAGCAATGCTGGCTAACGGGAGCTCTGGTACTCTTAGTTAGATATTTTTCATTTTGCCCTTCAAGAAAGACGGGTCATCATACTTTTCTCCCTTATTCGATGATAGATGAATCAGAAATTAAGAATATCTTATGGTGATTCACAAATTTACCTCTTTTCGCCTAAATTTTAATATTTTTATAAAATATATTAATAAAGTATATTTAGTACCATATACACAAACTAATTACCCTTCAACCCCGTCATTCTTGACAGGTTATTGACTAGTATAAGTAATAATTGTCCAGTCCGTAATATTTTTATGAAGGAAAAAAGACAATAATTTGCTTATTTCCTAGTTTAGAAAAAATTGTAAAATTTCTGGCCGACCTTAAAAATATTATGCGTAAGTTGTCCAGCGAAATATATTTTATACAAGTTTCTCAGTACATCCTTTGCAAATATCGAAAATTAATAATTTAAATATTTCATCACTTAATGTTTGCTGGTTAAATCTATCCATTATAGAAATAAAATTGCCTTTCAACCGGTCTAGAAGAAAATAACATGTGCGATAAAAATGTTTTTCATTTAGCATATTAATATCGGTTCTTTCAACTTTTCGATATATGATAATATGATTTTAGGTGACGATGTATTCCACCACTACCATATTACTTGCATCATGCCATCAGATCTTCATTTAGCATATTTATATCGGTTCTTTCAACTTTTCGATATAATAATATGATTTTAGGTGACGATGTATCCCACCACTACCATATTACTTGTATCATGCCAACGGATCTTTATATAGGGTTAGATATTTTACCAAAATCCATGATTGCTTTCAATATTAATGTTAGAAACCATTTATTTAAATCCTCTAATTCTTGTTTAAAGATGGAAAAGCAATAGCTTAAGTATAGTATATCAATTTGTCCAAATGTGTTTATAATAATTAACATACAGGGTTTCCCATTCAAAAAAGGAAAAGTCCCAATCAAAAAAGTAGAAGTTTTAATCATAAAAGGAAAAGGTCCGATCAAAAAAGGAAAAGAGTTAATCATTAAAGGAAAAGGTCCAAACAAAAAAGGAAAAGTGTCAATTAAAAAAGAAAGGAAAAAGCCCGATCAAAAAAGGAAAAGTGTCAAACAAAAAGGGAAAAGGTTCAAACAAAAAGGGAAAAGGTTCAATCAAAAAAAGAAAAGTGTCAAACAAAAGGAAAAGGACCAATCAAAAAAGGAAAAGTGTATAGAAAAGTAAAATTCCCAAAAGGAAAGGAAAAATGTCAATCAAAAAGGAAAATTTCCATTCATAAAAGGAAAATCGTAATTTTTTTAAATTTTTTGTCAATTATTCGTAAATTTTTATTTATTTCTGTTATTCCTTCTTAATTTATATCTAAATTTTTGCTATTTCTTTACGTTTTTTTTTCTTACTGATCTTTTCTTAATTTATTTTTCTTCTCATTTTTGATAATTCTTTTGTATTTTTAAAAATAATTTAGAAATTTACCATTTTTTTAACAATTCTTTACGTTTTTTTTTCATCATACATACAATAATCTTTTTATGATTTTTCCATTGTAATCTTTTACATACATTTCTAACCTTTTCAATTTCTTTAAGTCATTTTTAATCTTTATTTTTTTGAGCATTTCTCATTTTTTTCTTCTCATTTTTGATAATTTTAAAAATAAGAATTTAAAAATGATTATATTTTATTAATTTATATTAGAGATCTACAACTGTACCCGACCCGAACCCGGCCCAAACGAGCTTCGGGCTCGGGCCTATTTTTTTAAAAAGAGGTTCGGGCTGGGCCGGGCCTAATATTTTTTTAAAAAATTCTGGCCGGGTCGGGCTTTATGTTGAATTTTTAATGTAAAATAAAAATATAAGATTTTATTTATAGAAACTAGACGCCATATAACTTACAGGGTTTCCCATTCAAAAAAGGAAAAGTGTCAATCATAAAAGGAAAATTCCCAAAAAGAAAGGAAAAAGTCCGATCAAAAAAGGAAAAGGTTCAATCAAAAAAGGAAAAGGTCCAATCAAAAAAGGAAAAGTATCAATCGAAAAAGGAGAATTCCCATTCAAAAAAGGAAAATCGTAATTTTTTAAAATATCTTGTCAATTTTTTTAAATTTTTATTTATTTTTGTTATTCCTTCTTATTTTATTTCTAACTTTTTGCCATTTCTTTACATTGATTTTCTTACTGTATCTTTCCTCAATTTATTTCTAACCTTTTGCGGTTTTCTTTATTTTATTTTTCTTACTATATCTTCTCTCAATTTATTTTTCTTCTCATTTTTGATAATTCTTTTGTATTTTTAAAAGTAATTTATAAATTTAGGTCCATTTTTTTAACAATTCTTTACGTTTTTTTCATCATACATACAATATTCTTTTTATAATTTTTTCATAGTAATCTTTTACATACATTTCTAACCTTTTCAATCTCTTCATTTTTAATCTTTATTTTTTTGACCATTTCTCAATTTTTTCTTCTCATTTTTGATAATTTTAAAAATAAAAATTTAAGAATGATTATTGTATTTAATTGCAATTGCTAAATTAAATTAATCGTTTAGTTATAATGTACCTTTAAAATTAAATCAGTTTAAACTGTAATACCAAACGATATGTAAATTAATAAAATATAATCATTTTTAAATTCTTATTTTTAAAATTATCAAAAATGAGAAGAAAAAAATTAAGAAAAGCTCAAAAAAATAAAGATTAAAAATGAAGAGATTGAAAAGGTTAGAAATGTATGTAAAAGATTACAATGAAAAAATCATAAAAAGAATATTTATGTATGATTAAATAAAAACGTAAAGAATTATTAAAAAAATGGACCAAAATTTATAAATCATTTTTAAAAATACAAAAGAATTATCAAAAAATGAGAAGAAAAATAAATTGAGAGAAGATATAGTAAGAAAAATAAAGTAAAGAAAATCGTAAAAAGTTAGAAATAAATTGAGAAAAGATACAGTAAGAAAAGTAACGTAAAGAAATCGTGAAAAGATACAATAAGAAAAATAACGTAAAGAAATCGTAAAAAGTTAGAAATAAAATAAGAAGGAATAACAAAAATAAATATAAATTTAAGAAAAATTGACAAGAAATTTTAAAAAATTACAATTTTCTTTTTTTGAATGGGAATTTTCCTTTTTTGATTGACACTTTTCCTTTTTGGAATTTTCCCTTTTCGATTGACACTTTTCATTTTTTTATTGGACCTTTTCTTTTTTATTTGACACTTTTCCTTTTTGATTGAACCTTTTCCTTTTTTGTTTGACACTTTTCCTTTTTTGATCGGACTTTATCCTTTCTTTTTGGGAATTTTCCTTTTTGATTGAACCTTTTCCTTTTATGATCGACCCTTTTCCTTTTTTGATCGGTCTTTTTTCTTTTATGATTAAAACTTTTCCTTTTTTGTTTGGGACTTTTAATTTTTTGAATGGGAAACCCTGTATATAATTTATTTTGAGTAATTATAAAAATTAATTTTTATATTTAAATAAATTCGGGCCGTGTCGGTAAATTTTTTTTAAAAAAATTTCGAGCCTGGCCGGGCTTGAAAAATTAGGCCCGATGCAGATCACTAATTTACATATCGTTTGGTATTACAGTTCAAACTTATTTAATTTTAAAAAGGTACATTATAACCAAACGATTAATTTAATTTAGCAATTGTAATTATATTGTCTGCCAAAAACATTAAATATAATTTTATAAAATAATTATCACAAATGAGAAGAAGAAAATTGAAAAATGCTCAAAAAAATAAAGATTAAAAATGACTTAAAGAGATTGAAAAGGTTAGAAATGTACGTAAAAGATAACAATGGAAATATCATAAAAAGGATATTGTATGTATGATTAAAAAAAACGTAAAGAATTGTTAAAAAAATGGACCTAAATTTATAAAATATTTTTAAAAATACAAAATAATTATCAAAAATGAGAAGAAAAATAAATTGAGAGAAGATATAGTAAGAAAAATTAAAATAAAGAAAATCGCAAAAGTTAGAAATAAATTGAGAAAAGATCAGTAAGAAAAAAAACGTAAAGAAATCGCAAAAATTTAGAAATAAATTAAGAAGGAATAACAAAAATAAATAAAAATTTAAGAAAAATTGACAAAAAATTTAAAAAAATTACGATTTTCCTTTTTGACTTTTCCTTTTTATGGGAAACCTTGTAATAAATATGCACGAGAAATAAAATGGAACGTTTTTTTATAATTTAAATAAATATTTAATTTATAAAAAATATGTAAAAATATTCACATTTTATTAATGTGGGCATCTATTTCCTGTGTAAAAAACTTTTGATCTTCTATCCTGAAAATATAAATATATTGACAGGTTTTTTAAAGTTTATAAACGATATTAGAGGTCTGCAAAAAACGGGTTTTAGCTACTAGTTGTTTTAAATTTTTTAACCCGTCACTCGCTTATAATCTTTTTTTTTAAATTTTCCCGCCCACCCATTTTTCTATAAATTTGTTAATGTTTAAATATTATTTTAATGGATGGTTGGCTCTTTATTTATTTATTTATTTTAATTAAACATGTATAATATGCTATATTATGAAATAAAACTATTATTTTTAATAAAATCAAGTCTGTTCTACTCATTTCGCCCGAGAAGTATTAAAAATTTATCCAACCCTCTTGCTACTACCTGCCTAATCTTTATAATATTTTAGAAAACTCACGCCAGCCCGTAGTATGGGTGGGCGGGCTAAAAACCCACTTATTGTACTCCCCTATGCGGTAACATATTAAAAATCTTTAAAATTTAATGTTACTTTAAATTACGAAGTTTGATGAACATTATTTTTTCTTTAATAATCTTTAAAATAATCAAATTATTACTGGAATTAAATTATAAAATTTTGACTTTATATGACGTCAGCACAAGATAAACTAAACTTTGTTTCATTTTTTTAAATTTTAAATGAGACAGGATTTTTCGAATAAATATAATGGATATGGCTATATATTATTCTACCTGAGCCCTCCAGTAGAAAACCTTAATACCAACTATAAAATTCCTATAAAAATCTTTTTAACATTGTTTTATAATCAGCAATTATATTCAATATTTCGCTAAATATGATATTGGTCAAACGCTAAAAGAATAGAGATCATCATCTAAAAAATAAGTCAAATAATTTTAAAGGATTTTCTCCGACTAAATAATTATAGTTCGCATTTAAATCGGTTCCTTCTGATTGAGGAAGAATAAAAATTATTAATAGGCTTATTTAGAATGCATTTCAATCTTCTGCTACATTATGAAGATTAGAATAACATACAAAATTGTTCTCTAAATCATAATCATTGCTGAGAGCACTACAAGGTGGGAGTACGACAAACTGGTTTAGAAACAATTCACATAACTATTTTTTAATAACAATAATTTTTATTTAATTTTAAATTCAATTTTTCAAAAGAAAATTTGATAATTTTACTAAAAGTATATTATCATTGAACCTCTTTATGGTTAGTATACCATTTAAGTAAAATTTTAAATTAATTATTTAATCCTATGATCTTATATATGCTGAATATATTATATATCTAAAAATATGGAGAATAGGAGAACGAATTATTAACTTGCAAAAATGCGCCAAAATATTATGTAACGAGAATTCGGGAGCAGTTAATATGATTTTTTAAATAAATTTTAATAAAAGAATAAATGATAAAATGTTAGTTAAAAATCAATGTACCATAAATTGCTTGTTAACCTTTAATGGGTTAAAATACAAGGCAGTTGATTTTAAGATAAAACTTATGATAAAAGCTACTTTGTAAAATAAGTGACTTTTGGAAGAACAGCTAAATCTACCATATCCTTATCGACATTTATATATTTTAGATATTCTTTAACATTGAGGGATAATGGATCTTATTTGCCTTTTTAATATATAAAAGATTTTTATAAAAAATAGTTTATGTCATTTTTTTTCTCTTATGTTTAATAACCCTTAATTTTTATTTAAAAAATTTCAGACATAATAGATGACATATCAGGAAATTTGGGAAAAGTCAATCAAAGAATGAACAAAGCAACTCACAATATAATGCTCATAACTCGTCATCATAAAACTTGGCGTAAAATTGATTTGTCTTTTTTCTTATTTAAGAAATTATTTGATAGATGAATTATGAAAGAAAATAGATAAGAATAAAAAGAGATAATATTGATTAACTATTTTTAATAGTTTTTAAAAAATATTTTTTTTAGCCTATTGGTTGATCATCATATTTCTCCTGATTTTGATATTGATCGTTACTTTCATATAGGGAAACAACTTTGAAATAAAAATGCGCCATCTAGAAAATTTTGATTTCCAAAAATGTTATGAGTTATTATAATATTTGAAAATCTATCTCTTAATGTTAATTTGGCTTATTATAACAAATCCTCAAATATTTATTTAAATCATTATTGTTAAATACAATATTGATAATATATTATGTAATTTATAAATTTATTTTTCCTAATTTTTCTAAGATAAATATGTTAATAATGCTCATTTTAATCTTTTCTTTATGCTATCCTCGAGCACTATTCATTTGGTAATTAATTTATTGAAACCATTCGCAATACTTGATATTTAATGTTAAATCATTGATGTTTACTTAAATTAGTACGATATATTATGCCTATATTATATATTATTCTGTAATGGTTCCGGACTTGTATCTTTATGTTTAAATTTTATTATTAAGTATTTTATACTTTAAAATAACTTATCTATAGCCTTAACCTGCTGAAACGCTACTTTTAGCAAAATTATTTTTCAAAGAATGTAGCTCGCTATCTACTAGCTTAAAAATTTGTTTTCCCTTAAATTCGTAACTAAGCAAGGAGTTACATAAATACATCTTCTTAAAAATAGCGACAAATAATTTAAATGTTCATAACTATAATAGTTTAGAATAATATAATCTATTTTTATTTAAAAATAATAATTTTATTTCTTATGATATGAGTAGACAATTTAAAAATATATATTAAAATTATAATTTATTATATAAAAAACATTAAATAAAAATTTAAAAAAAAGGAACATGATACCCTAGGAAGGAGTGAATGCTTAGGAAATTAGATCGCCAGATTTTGAAGAAAATCTACTGCGGTGGTTGAATCTCCTTGGGGTCACATGTAATGAGTCTCCTTTTACAACTTTGATATGATTAATTTCCTCCATTTGACTATGGGCATAAAAAGAGTGTACGTGAGCCCCAAGTTGAATGTACATGAGCCCCAAGTTTTTTAAGGGCTTCTGCCATAACGAAAAATGAGTGGTTATACTTAGCTGCTAAGTTAAAACAATGAAATCTTAGGTCAGCGAAAGGCCTGTTTTGGAATAAGAGATATGCCCTCAAGACGTTGTAAGGTGTAGTGTTGTTAAACCGCTAAGCCGAGTCGACTTAGCTGCGACTCGAGCCTAGTTTCTAGTCGATAAAACTACTTCGACTCAAGTCAACTAAATGAGCCTTATTGGTCGGCTCACTTTGTCGGCTCGTGTAAGTCGACTCGCTGGGTCTGCTCAATTTTTTTGTTTTTTTTATAAAATCTGGTAAATTACTAAATTTTGGGTTACTGATTAATGTGAACTAAATAATAATATTCATGTCGTAACTAAAAATGGCTCAGGACCCGAATTCGGCTTCAGGGATTATATACCTAATTTTTATAACACCAAAATGTAAAAATATAATTTATATTGTAAAGATGTTAAATTAAAATTTTAGTGAAGATTTACCCTAGATAAGTGATAATTGTCATAATCGTTATTTTTAAATTTTTTTGACGTAAATGGGCTTAAATAAGTATTGCTAACATGTTAAAATAAAATTTTAGTGAATATGTACCATAGATAAGTGCAGTGGCTTCGCTAGGGGGGGGGGGGGGAAGCGCAGGGTCTCGAGCCCCCTGAAGCAAAAAATTTTTTTTTAATGGCTCCTTAATATTTTAAACTAAAAATAAATTTTTTTGACTGCCCACTGAATTATTTCTTTTATGATTCCATTAAGTAATATATAGATATAATTTTATTATTTAGAAATTAATAAAACTATTTAAATTTTTATTAAATGAATATAATTTTAATTATTAGATTAGATTAATACATATAAATTATCTTTTCACTATGTCAGCTTGCAATCAAATTCTGTATTAAAAATATAATATCAATAACTAACTAAATATTAATTTAGCTTTAACAGTTGAAGTTTAATTGACTTTTATTATTTAAATTATTATTTAACCCTAATTAAATAAATATGATCATATATTATTTGAAAATTAACAAATTAATATTGTAATTAGCCGAGTTCAAATGACTAATCAACTGTATATTTATTTTGAAATTTTATTATCATATTAAAAATATTTTAAGTATAAGAGATTTCTTTATTAAAATAAAAAGTAAGTAGACATATAGTTTATAATCCACTACTATATACAGTTGTTTATAAAATATCAGATATAATGCTACTTTTATAGACGTATTTGACAGTTATATAATATAATATTATAATAAATTTTACTAATAAATGGTTTTGATAATAAATTAAATATAGCATTCAAGTATTTAACGCCATCTATTTAGTTATAAATAATTTTTAAAATTTAACATTTTATTATTCATCCTGCAATAGATGTAATAAATTTGATATCTTTTCTTATCTTTTTTTATATGTTTTTAGGAAAGCTATTTTTTTCATTTTCGAAAAACAGTCTTGAGTTGAATTTTTAATACAAGTATATTTTTGATATTATAACAAACTACTATTATTTTAAGATATAATATACCAAGGTGGTGCGACAATATATAAAATCTTAATTGTTTCATCATATCATTCTGGTCCTTATTTTATAGTTAGAAAATGTTTCATTTCTAATATGGCATTGCCGTGTAAATAACTCCAGGCTTCAATATATTTGCATAATTATTTCTTCCAAAGATTTTTAGTGTTTTTATTTTATCAATTTATCCAACATAATAAATTCTGATATTAGTTAACATCGTGGCTATTACTGCATATTAACCAGCATCTATTATTTGTGTTGCAATGTAATTTAAGATTATTACTATAACGGCTGAGAGCATATAATTGCATATTTTAGATGAAAAATAATAGTCAAGTGTGTAGTCGTTTATATATCATTTAAAATGGAAAATAATCTTTTAGAAATTTAATATCTCACAATAATTTTCTCGATTACTTATCTAGCTTCCATAATGTCATCTAAGAGGAAGCTCTAACCACCATATAGTTTTATGATTTGGATTGGTCGTTTATATTCTCTCCTACAAAAATTGTTGATTTGGTTTAAGCCTATAAATTTTTCCTTATTAGTCCATTCTATAAAACACTGTCTAAAATGGATACAGAGATTTATACTAGTTTGATAACCTTTTGTCAATATAAGTTGCTAAGAATTATATTATTGCATTATGTGATTTTTTATATGCCAGTTTATTTTGTATGCATAATATAATAAATGACAAAATCTGAATAATTGTTCAGAGTTAACCAATTTTAAAAAAGTATAATATATTTATATAAAACCCGGCCGAAGGCCCATAAATTTTTTTTAGTTGAGACCCCTGAGAGTGTGAAGGCTAGCGATACCCCTGGATAAGTGACAAATGTCATAATCGTTAAAGTTTTTTAAATTTTTTTCACGTAAATGGGCTAAAATAAGTATTGCTACATGTTTAAATAAAATTTTAATGAAGATGTACCATAGATAAGTGATGACATTTTCATAATCGTTATTTTTAAAGTTTTTAAAATTTTTTCACGTAAATGGGCTAAAATAAGTATTGCTAACATGTTTAAATAAAATTTAATATGTACCATAGATAAGTGACAATTGTCATAATCGTTGTTTTTAAAGTTTTTTAAATTTTTTTGACGTAAATGGGCTAAAATAAGTATTGCTAACATGTTTATATAATTTTAGTGAACATGTACCTAGATAAGTAACAATTGTCATAATCGTTGTTTTTAAAATTTTTTTGATGTAAATGGGCTAAGATAAGTATTGCTAACATGTTTAAATAAAATTTTAGTGAAGATGTACCATAGATAAGTGACAATTATCATAATCGTTGTTTTTAAAGTTTGACGTAAATGGGCTATAATAAGTATTGCTAACATGTTAAAATTAAACTTCAGTGAAGATGTACTCTAGATACAAGGTTTCCAAAAAGGAAAAGTCCCGATCTAAAAAGGAAAATTCTCATTCAAAAAAGGAAAATCGTAATTTTTTTTGCCAATTTTTCTTAAACTTTTATTTATTTTTGTTATTCCTTCGTAATTTATTTCTAAATTTTTGCGATTTCTTTACGTTTTTTTTCTTACTGTATCTTTTTGCGATTTTCTTTACTTTTATTTTTCTTGCTATATCTTCTCTCAATTTATTTTTCTTCTCATTTTGATAATTCTGTTGTATTTTTAAAAATAATTTGTAAATTTAGGTCTATTTTTTAAATTTTTCTTTACGTTTTTTTTCATCCATACAATATTCTTTTTATGATTTTTTCATTGTAATCTTTTAAATATTAATTTTTTTCTTCACATTTTTGATAATTATTTTTGCTAGTTTAGTTCATTACAGAATCCTTGTAGGAGAAATGTGCCATGAATGGCCATGTTTTTGCTTTTTTGAAAAAAATGTATTTAAAATTATGTTTAACCAAACAAATTTTATATCAATGTATAGTTTAAATAATAATCTTTAAAATATAATTTGATTTAAAGCTCTAACTATAATAGTTTATGAGCTAGATGAGGTTATGTGAAAGTTGTATTTCTGGCCATTCAATACATATGTTAACTGGCCATGATATATTATTTAAGAATTTAAATATGAAATAATACAATATGAAATACTTGTAAAAGACCTATATTAATATTTGTACATTTTTTAGTTATATATAAAATTAATTATACCCTAATTTATTTAGTATTAAAATCTCAATTTATTACCACATCTATTTAATGATAATATTACAAATTAATATCTTAATTATCATTTTACTAACATTCTTAAGCTTGTTCATCATTTTATTTCACCAAATATTGGTTTGCTGGGCTTTTAATTTTAATATGAATATGTGAATTTGTGACCAATCAATACATGGCCAGTCAACACTCACCTCTCTAATATAATAAAGCACCTTTATATGTCTATTAAATAAAGCTTTAAAGTCTAATTTTTTTTGTGAATAATGCTAAATGCCTAAGGATAATATTTATAATATCAGTAATCTAAATTAGTAATTATTTAACCAAACAAAAAAAATGTGTAACGTGATTTTTCCAGAAAGAGGTACTAAAAACAGTTTATTTGAAATATTTTTTATTGAATTGCTCTATTCAATAAATGAACTTAGGTAAGGTACATATCATAAATATACACATTTTATCCAATTATGAGAGAAATTGGTCAATTAAATAAAAAGTTAAAGAGTAGTGGCCAGTCTTCACACATGGCCATTTATGGCACATTTCCCCTACATATAATTTTGTTTA